AGATTTACTTTATATTGCTTATTCCAACAAAACTTTAAGAATTGGAAAATAGAATGATCAAAAAATAAAAAAATAGGGCCATAGTGATAGCACAGCAGGTAGGGCATTTGCCTTGCACATGGCTGACCTAGGTTAGATCCCTGGCATCCCATATGGACCTCCAAGCACCACCAGGAGTAATTCCTGAGTGCAGAGCCAGGAGTAACCCCTTCCATCACCGGATGTGACTCAAAAAGCAAAATAAATAAATAAGAGTCAATTAGTGATTATGACATGACTTATATAAATTCTATTTTATACTTTTGTCTCATTATGGTAATAATCATGTCCTACCTGTCATTAATAACACTTTTTTTTGCTTTTTTGGGTCACACCCCGCAATGCACAGGGGTTACTCCTAGCCCTGCACTCAGGAATTATCCTGGCAGTGCTCAGGGATAATCAGTTCAATGGGATGCTGGGAATCGAACCTGGGTTGGCCGCATGCAAGGCAAACGCCCTACCCGCTGTGCTATCTCTCCAGCCCCTAATAACGCTTTTAAACCAATTCTGTGTTAATATATTTTGGAGTTTGCATGGAATATCTAAGGCCTATCTATGCAAATTTTCCCCTTACACTTTTTATTAAACACTGTGTTTTACAAAGTTAACAATGATTTGTACCAGGCATCCAATCTCCTAATAACAGTCCCACCACCATTTCACATTCCCTCTACCATTTTCTTCAATTTTCCTAATCTTACCCCTTAAACCTGCCCCAATAGTAGGACCTCAATAATTTATTTTATATTGCTTGTTACCGATGATTTGCTAGCAGAATGATCAAAAAATGTTTTCTTAGAAAAAAAGTTAACAAAGCATTTATTCTTTTTGCTTACAGCATTATGGTTACTCTTTGTGGCACCAGTTCAATGAGTTTTGACAAATAATATTGTGTTCATAATGATGTTATCAGTGTGAATTTCGTAAAGAATCTGAATGATCTTTTTTGCTTATCTGCTCAACTCTTTTTCTCTGACTGTAAGGTCCTGGAACCACTGACAGTTTTTATTTTCCAAGTTGTCATGAAATAGTAATTTTATATGATACATAGACCTTTACTTATCCACTTACCTAATGAAGGATCTTTGGACGCCTCCAAATTTTGGAGATTATGAATAAAGATGTCAGAACCATGTGTTCTGCAAGATTTTCAATAATTTAAAAAATAACTTTGTTATGGCAATATATGTCTCAGATGTCTGTCATTATAAATCAATATCTATATATAAAACATTGATTTAAAAATTTTATTTTAAAAATAAATTTATTTATGGCTATATTCTTCATGGGGAAAGTGCTTGACTAGCTAGAAATACTGTGTTTTGTTTTGTAAGACCTGTAAAATATTCTTTCAAAGTGATTGAACCAGCTTTTACTGTGATTACTGATGAATAAGAGCTTCTGTCTCTTCATGTTCTGTTACCAATTAATATGTCTGGAGTTTTGCTTTTTAATATTTTCAGTAGGTATGAGATCTTATTCATTATTACAGATCCCAATTTTCTAATGAAAATGATGCTACGAATGATTCTAAATGTTTATTTACTTAAGCATATAAATTTTTGTATAAGGATGTTATTTACTTAAGCATATTGTATAAGGATGTTTATTTACTTAAGCATATAAATTTTTTTATAAGGATGTTATTCACAGATATTTTGTTCAGATATATTGGACAAAAGTAGAGAATATGAGCGGAAAGTTTGGTTGGACAGCAGGAAAACATTATTCTAATATGATGGTGGGTATGGCATGACATACTGCTGGAGAGGTTTGAAAGTATACTCCTAACGTGTATGTGATGTTGTAAACAATTATTGCCTTAGTAAATACCAAAAAAAAAAAAGAAATTAGTAAATCAAATAAACTCATTACCAAATCCAAGACCTTTAGATTTTCTACTCTATTTTGTTGTAAAAGTTGGAGAGTGCTGTATTTTCTACTTAAGTACGTTCTACACTTTTAATCACTTCCTGGACCAGGTTTGTGTTTTGATCTTTTTGTTTGTATGTGTGTGTTCCAATGTTAGAAATGTGAATTCCCTTTCCTTTTGGTCACGAATACATTTCCTCTCTCATTGTGGGTCTTTTTTGTAGGATATTCCCTTTTGTCTGTGAATTCTTGTGTCTCTCCTTTTGCAGATGCTACTATCTTGATGAATGCTGCTTTGTGAAAGGTATTAAAATTGGTTTGCGTAGGTTCTCGAAGTTAGTTCTGTTTACTTTGTGAATTTGTTTGTTATTCTAGCCTTTTTATTCTCCATGTAAACTTCAGTTTATTTTTACCTACAAATAGTCTGCTGGACTGTTTATTGGCAAAGCATTGAACGTACGAACCAATTGAGAAAATTACAGGATTGGTGCTTCCTGTTCAAAATATCAATTCTCTCCATCCAATTAGACTGTGTTTGATTCATTTATTGTGCTGGTAATTTTCTGTCCATATATTCTGTAGGAAACTTGATAAAATAATATCTAAGAATTTCAGTTTTTGAGTTCTATCAAAATTAGATTTTTGTTTCAAATTTTTATTGTTCATTTTTGACATGTAATTGGTAACTGAGTGTTTGTTATGGGCCTTGTTCCTCCCAGCATTACTATATGGGATTATTAGTTCTAATGTATTTTCATTAAATTATTTGCTGAGTACTTTTCCATGTAGAGGAGCCTCTACTCTCTGAACAAAAATATCTATTTCTAACGACTTCATTTGTATAACTTTACTTCATTTTATTGTATTATTATACAAAGTGGAAGTACAGAATGATGTTAAATAGAATAAGTGATTAAGATCATTGATACTTATACCTAAACTTGTGGAGAAAAAAAGTGGTTTCTCACCATCAAGTATGAGATAACTATAGGATTATGAATATAATCTTTATCAAGTTGAGAACCGGTCTATTTCTAACAGACTTGTAATGAGAATACTGAATTTTATCTTATCTCTAGTTCATTTGATGTGATTATTTTGTCAGTCTATTGTTGTGGTGAATGACATTGGGTTTATAATGTTTACTTAGACTTGCTTACCATGAACAAATCTTATCTGGCTTGCTAAAAAATTCTATGTATTAACATTATGTCATGCATTTTTGCTTCTAGGTCATCCTGATATGGAGTTTTCCTTTTCTGTAATTTCTTTACCTATTTTGAGAACTAGGACATGGACAATGTCACAGATGAGTTAGGAAGAAGTTTTGTTTGCTTCTATTTTCTGAAAGTATGAATGTGTAGAAGAGACTTGGTATCAAGTCTCTTGAAAAGTTTATTGAAATTCACTATTTTAGTTCACTAGTGTATATATATTATATTTTTATTGAGGCACTGTAATTTATAATACTTTTTAAAAAATGCTGACTAAAGCAAGGTAAAGCCTACAAATTACTTATGCATTTTATTTATTTATTTATTTATTTACTTACTTATTGCACTTTTGGGTCACACCCAGCACTCTCAGTGGTTACTCCTGGCTCTGCACTCAGGAATTATTCTTGACCAATATGGGATCGAACCCAGATTGTGAAGCAAACACCCTCCTTGCTATACTATTGCTTCAGTCCCAATTTATAATACTATTGATAAGAGTTTCATGCATCTACAGTCCAATACCTTCACCAGAACATCTACTTCCTTCCATAAATGACTGTCTTGTGTTTTAAGTATTTCCATTTGCTCTCTATCTCTCTCTTCTGTTGCCCAAAACATCTCTCTTCTAGATTGCACTTGTCCTTAGAAACCATGCAGAACTATCCAATGCTTGGAAACTCTTGAAATGCCAAACTTAAAAAAGAGGAGCTTGAATCCCAGAGTCTCATGCAACATTCTATCTTCCGCTCCCCTCTCAGTTATGGTTTCTGAGCAGGAGGAAACTGTTTCATACCCGTGGTCCTTGGGTGGGTGTGAATGTGTTATGGATGTCATATCTTGGGTGACCTTGGGTGTGTAAGGAAAATTACCCCCATAGAAAAGTGTACACCAAAGTTGTCTTCTACCAACAAGAAATGTAGAATTTGTACTAAACAGAAGAGGAGGGAGACTATGTGTAATTTAGAGACATTGAATTAGGTGTCACTTACATGTGTAGTAACGAATAGAATGCCTTAGCCACATCTTAGAAAACAACATCTCACACTTTCAAAGAAAACTGAGAGCTCGCTGGCCACAACATTGAGTGCTCTGGTCTCCAGCCATAGCTGTGATTTTATCTCCAGCATTGGTCTCTGCTGTATTTCTCCCTGTCCTATACACACTGCTCTCATATGGTGGCAGAAATTGTCCTGTAGGAGGTCATTTTTTGTAAACTCTTCTCTGACCCGGATACTCTTTCGTTGGGTATCTCCTTCCCATGTGGATCTATCCCATTGCCTTCACCTGTTCTCTTCATAAGTTTTCCTCTATATTTTCCATCTTCATCAAACTCACTATTTTACTTAATAAAAATGGCCTTCATGAAATAATATCTGCTCATTTGCTGATATTCTAATGTCACATAATCAGAGGGTGCTGAGAGGGAAACATGTTAGGCACTGGGATTTTTTTTCTAATTCTATTCCCCAACACCTCCTTCGCCAATGCTCAATCAAGCATGCTCTTTCCCAGTGACCTGAGTGATATGTTTAAAAATATCTATTTAGATAATTTAAAAAAAGGCCCAAACTATATTTCCAACCAAAAGAAAAAATAAAAGTCCCTCTAGAAATTTTAGAGGGAGCAATATATTTGAAAATATTTGGTTCAGGAGCAAGGCTTATCTTTTTTCCGTATAAAGAGAAATCAAACCATTCAGAAATCTTGAAATCTCCAGGTTATAGACAAATGTCTATAGACTAGATAATATATTGGGATTTATTAAATGTGTTTGAAATGAAGCCATTCCATTGATGTAACCTTATTGGTACATGTTTGCACTTAAATCTGCATCACTGTTGCTTCTATTCCAGCCGCCACATCAGCTCCATGGAACCTGGAAACCAAACACGTCCGTTAGCATTTATTCTCCTGGGACTGTCACAGGCAGCAGGAATACAACCTCTCATCTTCTGGGTATTTCTGTCCATGTACCTGATCACCTTCATTGGAAATCTTTTCATCATTCTGGCCATAATCTCTGACCCCCACCTTCACACGCCCATGTACTTCTTCCTCTCTAACCTGTCCTTTGCGGACATCTGCTTCACCTCCACCACCATCCCCAAGATGCTGCTCAACATCCAGATGCAGAGCAAAGCCATCTCCTACGGAGAATGCCTCACTCAGATGTACTTTTTCATGATTTTTGGAGGACTGGATAACTTCCTCTTGACTGTCATGGCCTATGATCGCTTTGTGGCCATCTGTCACCCATTGCACTACATGGTCATCATGAATCCCAAGTTGTGTGGACTCCTGCTTCTAGCATCCTGGATCCTGAGTATTTCTGATTCTCTCTTGCATTGCCTCATGGTTTTGCGACTGTCTTTTTGTACGAACTTGGAAATCCCTCACTTTTTCTGTGAACTCAATCAAGTGCTCCGTCTTGCCTGCTCGGACACCTTCCTCAACGATGCAGTCATCTATTTCACTGCTGGACTCCTGGGTATTATTCCACTTACTGGGATCCTTTTCTCTTACTCTAAGATTGTCTCCTCCGTGCTGAGAATTTCCTCAGCGAGTGGCAAGTATAAAGCCTTTTCCACGTGTGGCTCTCACCTCTCCGTGGTTTCCTTGTTCTATGGGACAGGACTTGGCGTGTATCTAAGTTCAACTGCTGTTGAAAACTCTAGGGATAGTGCCATTGCCTCGGTGATGTACACGGTGGTCACCCCCATGCTGAACCCCTTCATCTACAGTCTTAGAAACAAGGATATCAAGCAGGCCATCATTAAACTCTTTAAGGAGAAACATTCTCTCTGACAGGCCCCTGACCTTGATGTGTTTTGCTTATGAGCAGCAGCGCTCAGAGCCCATGAAGAGTAACCTAGGGGTGTTTTTTGGGGGCTTTTTTTTTTTGCTTTCTGGGTATCACCAGGGTTAGTCCTGGTTTTGCACTCAGGAATTTCTCCTGGTAGTGCTCAGTGGACCATATGGGATGCTGGGAAGCAAACCCGGGTTGGCTGTGTGCAAGGCAAACGCCCTATCCGCTGTACTGTCACTCCAGGACCGTCCCGGGGATGTTTTTGTTTGATCAGAAAGAGCTCGTCTGTGGTTCACCTTAGATGCAGAGCTCAATGTCTTCATTTTTCATACAATGTCAACAAAATTTCATCTGTATTTCCTTCATAATTTTCTTCTTTGTTCACTGAGGTCAGTGTAAAAAAAAAAAAGAGTCACTGAATGCACACAGGAGATTGGGTACTTTTAAAAGCTCCCAACTCCTGGATTATGGGGGGTGATGGCATTTTGTCATATCAAACGTTCTTGGAGAACCAAGCTTTATTCTATTCTTTTTCAGAAATTTTTATATCCAGAGATGGATTCACCATCTGATCAAGTTTGTCAAAGTTTACATTTATTCTCCAATAGCCAATTATCTTTGGATTGATCTAAGACACAGTGAAGAGTAATAAAAAGTTTCTCTATGGTTCTGACAATATCTCTGGGTTTATTAATTCCCAAGATCCTTGTGAAAATGTGCAATTTTACTTCTTTTAAGAATTTTTTAAATACACAGAACATTTTCAGCACCCCCTGCTAGAATTGACTCACTCACTGATCCCAAGCGTTCTATATTGTACTAGAAAACTTTGGATACTGACCTTCTCTGGGGGAAGGTTAGTGCTGTATATAAGCTTCTTTCAACAGGGAAAAAGGGCTTTAAGTCTCCTCTTTTGTTCTGTCATTGGATTTACTCTAAAATTTAATCCAAGGAAGCTCCAGTTAGACTATGCGATCAGACATATTTTTTTCAAGTGTTTAATTTAGAAACTTAAATTATTATGCAACTATTTGAATACTTAGTCTTCTCATTTTTATTCATACGTTGCATTTCTGTGGCACTCAGGGCATGTTGACCCAGAAGCAATAGAAGTCTTGATGAAAACAGTAGCCATCCTTTTGAAGATGAATACATAATTTACATATGTATTTACATATTTACATATGTAAGTCACCACATATCTTTAGACTTGGTAATAAGTGCATCATGAGGTAGTTCATAAAGTGCTGAATAGTTAGAGAATTTGGATTTCCCAGAGCCTCCCAATTGCATTCATTATTGCCTTTTTCTTTCCTTAATCTCTACAACCATGACCCAAAGGATGAGCATTCCCTGATATTGATTTCAACAGCATTAGTCACATAAGCCAGTCGATTTCCAGTTCTATTTGGTTGAATATAGTAGGGATGCTATGAAACAAAGTTTGCTCTGCCAGCCAAGAAAGACCATAAATACCATTATTTAATGGAGTCAGTAACACTGTTTTCTCAAACAAAATGAGATGAAATTCTCAGATACCTCAGAGGAAATATAAATTCCCAGATGTAAGGTCTGTTTCTGGCTTTCCATTTTTGTATATTTAAAAAACACCTTCTTGCCTACAGTGTGCCCTTTAAACAGAAACAACGTTAAATATTTTGCACATGCAGGCAAAAGAAATTCCATGGGTTGATGGAACAGCTTTGAAAACTGGAGATTTAAGAAGAACATTGTATACCAAATCAGCTAAGAAAATTGGCATTTCTGCGATCATCTGAAGAGTGATGACAGAACTTTGGAGAAATTGTTGATGCTGGGAAATTCACTATGTTTTCTGAATCCCAGGTGGCAAGAAACTAATCCCATGAGGTTTTGTCCCAAATACACCGTGTGGGTAGGTGAGCAGTTGTTGGAGAACTGACATGCAACTGAATGTTTAATACCCTTCACACTGCTGGTACAGAAATTTCCTCCACTCATTCTAAATATATTACCTAAGCCTTTTCTAACCTTGCAGAAAGCAGAACAGATTATATTGGACAGGTACCTCCTTTACGCCTTTAGAATCTTCTCTGTCAATCTTCTCTGTCAGGTTTGGTAAATATCTCAGTAATCACATCTAATTAGAAAGAAAATACTCAGATGTGATTGTCATTTTCTGCTTTCAAGAATAGAGAACAGGGGCTGGAGCGATAGCACATTTGCCTTGCACACAGCCGACCGGGGTTTGATTCCCAGCATTCCATATGGTCCCCCAAGGAGCACTGCCAGGAGTAATTCCTGAGTGCAAAGCCAGGAATAACCCCTGAACGTCCCCAAGTGTGACCCAAAAAGAAAAAAAACTGTATAAAAAAGAATAGGGAACAGAGCAGAGAGGAAGAGCTGAAATTGTCAGTTCATCATATCTGTTTTCATAACAGCGGTTCTTAATGACTGATGTAAATTTTTTTATGTCCTATGTGATTTTTAGGAGAGGATAATTTTCTTTTCCAAAATTTCCTGAGATTCTTCCCCCCCCCCCCCAGGACACTGGCCTCTCTCAAGATTCTTTTAGAAAAACTAATTTGTGAAGCATCAAATGAGTCAGAAAGAGTTTGTTGTGATTCTATTGTGTGGTCCTAGTTGTGATAAAATAGATGCAATCTAAAATTTCACACGTTTTAACTATTTTATTCTCAATGCATCTTCAGTGGCATTAAGCATACTCATAACTTGTCCCAAGGATCGCCACTATTATTAGCAGGCATGTCTGTCCATCAGCTAAAGAGAAATTCTGCTCTAATGAATTAATGATTTTTCTGTCACTTGTTCCAACCCAGGTAATTTTAAGCCTCTTATACCACCATAGATCTAATTGTGGTGGATATTGTATTGCCTATGATTGCAATCATATAATATTATCCATATGTGTCTGGTTTATTCCATTTGATATCAGTGGGCCCCACGTGGTGACTCATGTGAAGTGGGGAGGAGAAAAACTTTCTCCCGATCCGCCTCTGCCACCTGAGACTCCTGAGACTCAGGGTTACTGGGTTCTTGTCTCACATTGCAGAAAAGAATTTCAGGAGTAGACAAGCGGTGAAGTAAAAGAGTTTTCATTTGGAGGTTTTGAAGGGGAGGGGAGAGAGAAACAGAGAGAGAGAGAGAGGAGAGAGAGAGAGAGAGAGAGAGAGTTCCTCAAAGGTTGAGAAACCTTGAAATGGCCTTTAAGACTGGTTTTATATGCTGGTATTCTTTTTTTTTTATTAGTGAAACACCATGAGGTACAGTTGTAGATTTACAAATTTTTGTGCTTGGATCTCGGTCATACCACGATCAAATACACATCCCTCCACCAGTGCCCATTTTCCACCACCAGGATAATATCCCTCCCCCCCCATCCTCCCATCCCCCCATCCCCCCTGCCACTGTGGCAGGGCATTCCCTTTTGTTTTCTTTCTCCTCCTGGGTGTTGTGATCAGCCAAAGAGGCATTGAGTGGCGAACATGTTCAGTCCAGTCTACTTTCAACCTGCATCTCCCCTCCTGGGAGGATCCTCCAAACACCCTCCACTTGGTGTTCCCCTTTCTATCTGAATTGTCCTTTCCCCTAGAATACCCAGCTGGCCTCTAAGTTATGGAGTAATTCTCCTGGTGTTGCTCTCAGCTATTCTTGGGTATTAATCTCATATTTTATTATTTTATATCCCCCAGATGAATGCTATCTTTCTATGTCTATCCCTCTCTTTCTGACTCATTTCGCTTAGCATGATATTTTCCATGTTGTACCACTTGTATGTAAAGTTCATGACTTCATCTTTTCTAAGAGCCACATAGTACTCCATTGTGTAGATGTACCAAAGTTTCTTTAACCAGTCATCTGTTCTTGGGCACTCAGGTCTCTTCCAGTTTCTGGCTACTGTAAAGAGTGCTGCAATGAACAAACAAGTGCAGATGTCACTTCGGCTACACATTTTTGCCTCTCTGGGATATATTCCCAGGAGTGGTATCGCTGGGTCAAATGGGAGCTCAATTTCTAATTTTTTTTTTATTTATTGAATCACTGTGGGAAAGGTTACAAAGCTTTCAGGTTTATGTCTCAGTCATGCAAATATCAAACACATTTCCCTTTACCAATACTTATTTTTTACCATGAAGAGCCCCAATAAAACCCCACCCCCCACCCCTCCCCGTCCCTGTGAGGCAGATGAATTCTAGTTAACACTCTATCTGCTTTGATTAGATTCATTGTTTCAATAAAAGATTCACCACTATTATTTAGAGTTTACCCCCCCCCCCCCAAATCAGACATGCTGAAAAAGCATTGTGAAGTGATTTGCTTTCTACGGCTGGGTTCAAGAATTAAATGTTGGTTTTGGATTTCTGCTCTTTTACCTATTGACCCTGGAAGTATTTCTACTGAAAGTCAGATAGTTAAGAAATTGGTTTCTGTGTTCTGGAGTCCTGGCCGTGCTGGAGAGCCGCTCTCGGGGGGCAACCAGTGGCCTCGGTAGGGCGTGAAGGGTGGAGCGAAACGCCCCCCTTCCCATGAGGTTTTACTCGCCCCCACACTCCCGGCTCATACCTGCTGTCCACAAAGCTCCCATGTGGCCGCCATCTTTCTTTCCAGAGAGGAGAGGGCGAATGGGGCAACACCCTTTCCCCTCCAGCAGACTTGATGGCCTGGATCAATGCATAGTCCGTTCACTTTTCTGCTCCAAGCTGCTGGGTTCTGCGTTAAGTCCTTGTGCTTCTGGGGCCGTGGCCGTGCTGGAGAGCCGCTCGCGGGGGGCAACTGGTGACCTCGGTAGGGCGTGAAGGACGGACCAGAACGCCCCCCTTCCCATGAGGTTTTAGTCGCCCCCACACCCCCGGCTCATACCTGCTGTCCACAAGGCTCCCATGTGGCTGCCATCTTTCTTTCCAGAGGGAGGAGGGCGGAAGGGAGCAACACCCTTTCCCCTCTGGGCAGAAATGATTGCCTGGATTAACACATAGTCCTTTCACTTTTCTGCTCCAAGCTGCTGGGTTCTGCATTAGGTCATTGTGCTTCTGGGGCTGTGGCTGTGCTGGAGAGCCGCTCGTGGGGGCAACTGGTGGCCTCGGTAGGGCATGAAGGGCGGACCGAAACGCCCCCCTTCCCATGAGGTTTTAGTCGCCCCCACACTCCCGGCTCATACCTGCTGTCCACAAGGCTCCCATGTGGCCGCCATCTTTCTTTCCAGAGAGGAGAGGGCGAATGGGGCAACACCCTTTCCCCTCCGGCAGACTTGATGGCCTGGATCAATGCATAGTCCGTTCACTTTTCTGCTCCAAGCTGCTGGGTTCTGCATTAAGCCCTTGTGCTTCTGGGGCTGTGGCCATGCTGGAGAGCCGCTCGTGGGGGGCAACTGTTGACCTCGGTAGGGCGTGAAGGACGGACCAGAACGCCCCCCTTCCCATGAGGTTTTAGTCGCCCCCACACCCCCGGCTCATACCTGCTGTCCACAAGGCCCCCATGTGGCCGCCATCTTTCTTTCCAGAGGGAGGAGGGCGGAAGGGAGCAACACCCTTTCCCCTCTGGGCAGAAATGATTGCCTGGATTAACGCATAGTCCTTTCACTTTTCTGCTCCAAGCTGCTGGGTTCTGCATTAAGCCCTTGTGCTTCTGGGGCTGTGGCTGTGCTGGAGAGCCGCTCGTGGGGGGCAACTGGTGACCTCGGTAGGGCGTGAAGGACGGACCGGAACGCCCCCCTTCCCATGAGGTTTTAGTCGCCCCCACACTCCCGGCTCATATCTGCTGTCCACAAGGCTCCCATGTGGCCGCCATCTTTCTTTCTAGAGAGGAGAGGGCGAATGGGGCAACACCCTTTCCCCTCCGGCAGACTTGATGGGCTGGATCAACGCATAGTCCGTTCACTTTTCTGCTCCAAGCTGCTGGGTTCTGCATTAAGTCCTTGTGTTTCTGGGGCCGTGGCCGTGCTGGAGAGCCGCTCGTGAGGGGTGACTGGTGACCTCGGTAGGGCGTGAAGGACGG